CCCTGCCGCCCAGCCAGCCCAGGCCTTTGGCGAACATGGCGCTTGTCCCCAGTCAGGTGCTGCGGGTGGCGATTCTGCTGTCCTACTGCTCTATCCTGTGCAACTACAAGGCCATCGAAATGCCCTCGCACCACACCTACGGAGGGAGCTGGAAATTCCTGACGTTCATAGATCTGGTAAGGCTGTCCTCTCCCCTCCCCCGTCCGCCCTGCACCTTAGCCCGAGTGTATCTGGGGGTGCCCGAGCACCTGTGCGCACGCGCCGCCAGCATCCTCTCGGGTCCTCGCCTCTTCCCCAGCGATTGCGTCGGAAGGCCTGGCTGCGCCCACACAGCCCCTCTGTACCACCCCAGGTTACCTGGTCGCTGGGGCTCGCGTGGAGGTGGGGTGCAGCCAGGTGGTGGGCTATTCCGAGGGGAACACAGACCTGCTTCTAAGAGATGACACGGAGAGTCTGTCAACTTAATACACGGATTGGACGACCTTGATCATGAGGGGCCTTGGACCCATTCGCCCAAGGTGCTTCCCAGAGCACCCATCGTGGAATCAAGTTGCAGCGACTGTGGAAACTGGGTCCTGTCGAATTACCTGGAGCTCCCTCTGCAAGGACCAAAACCCTCCACACAAAGAAAAGAAAGCGCCTAATAAAGTTGTCTTTTGCCCATTGTCGGTAATGTCCTTGCAACCATTTACCCAGAAACATTAGGGGAGAGAAATTTCCAAAATGCATTTCCAGTGTAAACTTACACTCTTCCGTATTTTCCTATGTAAACATTTGTATTAGTTTGCATAAGCAGCTCCTCTTTCGGCACAATATAATAGTCTTGGCAATTGCAGGGGGTTTTTTTTGTTTGTTTTGTTTTAATATGTACCTTATCCACTTCTGGCAATACAAGCGCCAGAAAATCAGAACGTGAACATAAGGAGGAGAATGGCATGGGTGGAACCTAGGAACTTGAGAATGAAAGGTGGCTAACTTACTCTCCCAGGACATACTGAAAGGTGACCAAGCACGGGCAGGGGGTTCAAATAAAAGTCACCAATGCTAAAGACTACAGAAAATGTAGAGCCAATTCCTGGGGATGCCGAAGTTGGCTACACAAGCAAGATTGTCATCTCTATTGTTGACTCTTAGTGTTGATGAGGAGAACTTGATACCTGTTTTAAGATATTTCCAAAGGCTGGAGACCTTCAAAGAAATGTAGCACAGGGTTTTGTTTAGAAAAACCACCTTCTATTTTTATCACGTTAGAAGCATTCAGAGAGGAATTTAAGTTCCTTTCCCCAGCAGTCTCCAAATTGTGCTTAGACCCTGAAGTACCAAGACTTCCCACGGTTTCAAAGGTTTCATTTTTCAGATCTTCAACTTCCATGTCTTTCTTGACATTGATCTCTCTTTGAATATGTGTGATGCCTGCCAGCTGTTTTTTCTTGTTCCCATTCATCCAAGGGTTGAGCACAGGACAAGGCTCTGTGCTGTGTTTATCTGTTCCTTTTAGCATTCAGAAGATAGGTGATTGTCGCCAGAACTGTCTTCATATTTGATTGAAAAAGGAAGTCATACTTGTTTTGACAGGAAAGTGTTTTGGGTTGATTGGCTCCACAAAGATGGTTGGCTCTGCCAATTATGGGATATGGTATATTTGCCATAGGTTGAATGAGTGAAATCTACAGCCCTGAGGTTCTGACAAATGTGTAGCAGAGTGTTAGAAATCATGTCCCTTTTTAATGTCTTTAAACTAATGTTAGAAATATTTAGATATCATTTAAAAATATGTACCTAGGTTTTCAGAATTCTTTTAGGGACTATGTAAACAAAATTCCTCTGAAATTACTACAGTATCTCCTTCCTTAATCAGACCTTACCTAGAGTGGGCCCATTTTAGTGCCACCGAGGAGCAATGCTGAACTAACACACTGTTGGAGACCCCAGCAGAGCCATGGGCACTATGAACAGCACCTTTGCATTAGATACAGTGTGGAGGGGAGCAGAGAAGAGGGTCAGCAGGTGAGAGGGATACACATTGACAGTGCTGGTTAATCCATGAAAGGTGACTGCTTCTCATATTAGCATTGCTTATTGTGTGTTAAAAAACAAGACTCACAAAAAACAATACACTTCTTATAACCTCTGGGTCACAGGAAACTGTAGTACAGCCAGTTTGGCTCTACTTAAACTGTCACACAGTTTGTATTTTAACCTTTGGTGGCTGGACTTGTCTATTTTAAATAATGATCATCGCAAATACACTTGTATCTATCAGAATTCAGACATGGATTTAAATTGGAAACTTTTACTTTGTTTCATATTTAGATTCAGTTTGCATAGGGCCTTCAAATGTCTTACTCTCTGTGGTTCTGATTGAAATATAATAATTCTCTTTAATCAAGAGTTCTTATGAGAAAGTGTGTATAGAATATGTTCACAGAAACACTCATGCAAAGTGATCTATTTATCACTAATATATATATATATTTTTCGGGGTTTATAGTCTTTAGAGTGTAAGCATGTAAAGCTGTTAAAACAACCCACCTGTCCAGCCTTAGAAATGGCATTTGAAAAGATTAGGCTACTATAATTTACCCATTTAACTTTTTGTTTTTGTGTGTTAAAAAACAAACAAAACAAAGCTGAATAAACTTCATTGCTTAGTGCCTTGGACAATTTTAGCAATTCTAAGCTCATTAGAGTAATTTTGGAAGAGGGTTTAGCTTCTCAAAATGTTAAGGAGAGGGCCCCTTTCCTCATCCACTTGGCTCGCAGGGAGTCTGCACATTCATCCTGGTGGCCACAGTCTGATTCCCTGTTCCATGGCATCAGTTTACCAGAACGTAAGTCAGGAATCTCAGACTGCATGTATGGAGAAGATGGTTATATGGCAGTGGCAATTCCAGCTATAGCCATATCTTTCTTTAAGTCATCCCAATAGAATCAAAGCTCATGGTTAAAAGCTGAACTTCTTTTCCCAAGAACGTCTTTCCCCATGATTGAAAAACTGTAAAAGAACTACAGTTCTTTAAGAAAATTCAAATTAGTAAATGGAAATGCAACACCGTAATGTGGTAGGCAGAATAATGGATCCCCAAAGATGACCATCTCTTAATCCCAGGAATCTGTGACTACGTGAGGTTACGTGGCAAAGAAGAGTTAAAGTTGCCAATTAGCTGATGTTAAAACAGGGAGATTCTCCTGGGTTCTCCAGGTGGGCCCAGAGTAAATCACAAGAGTTTTTTAAAGTGGAGGGACGCAGAAGAGGAGTCACTTGGAGGAAGATGTGGTTGCTGAAGAAAGTCACAGAGAGATGCGAGATTGTTGGCTTTGAAGATGAAGGAAAGGTCCAAGAGCCAAGGGATGTGGGCGTTGTCTAGAAGTTGGAAAGGAAAAGGGAATAAATTCTCCCCTGGAGCCTCCAGAAGAAATATGGCCCTGCTGACACCTTGCTTTTAACCTGGTGAGACCCATTTTGGTCTTCTGCCCTGCAGAAGTATAAAATAATGTGTGTTATTTAAGTCACTAAATATGTGGTAATTTGTTACAGTAGCAATAGAAAGCTAGTCCGCGTGACTTCATGTCCTCAGACCTAGAAAAGAAATTCTGAAATGTTGTTGTATTCACGCAGTGACTCAGCTAGTTCTTTCTGTATACTAGGTAATTGGTTAATTTGAGCTTTAACCAAAATATATGTTTTTGCCTACTGCATCTATGAAACTATGCAGAGGAGACATAAATGCAACAGTGGGCAATATGAGAATCTATAAAAACTGAACAACATTGGAAAAACTAGATCTTTGCTTTACTGTAAAGTATTTTGGAGACTATCACTATGCAACATGCCGTGCCAGGAGAAGGAATACCCTTAACTGGAAATAAGCTGGAAAGAAAGAAAATTTAAACTAACTGATGTTCAAATACCTCCTTAACCAATATTACAGCTGATGAATTTTCTTCAAATGATGCAGATTCCTTCCCTGGTCACTAATTAAAGGATAATTGCCCCTCCCCCCAAAGTTATATAACAATTGCCCCCAAAGATGATAAAAATGAGGAATCAGAATAAAACCAGTATAAATAAATTAAATGAAAAAGGCAGATGCATGTTGAGGCCTCAAAGTAGTGCTGGAGTATAATAGGTATTTTTAAACATTTGAACAAATGGAAACTTTTTCTTACCAAATTTTAGTGTTGATCTACTATGTAGATCAATATATTAATCCTGCCTTCTATATTTAAGACATATCTAAACATATTTCAAAATACATTGACGGTGACTCTTACTGTGATATGATTAGAAACATGTTGTAAAAAACAACTTTAAAATAAAAGGAAGAGAAAAATATGTACTAGACAACAGGGATAGCTTACTTATTGCCATTGTGAAACAAATTTAGCTAATCTTTAGGGCAACCAACGTAAAAAAGAATACACATTTGATTGCATTGTTCTTAGTGTTAGCATAAAGGAAACATAGCAATTTATCAGGAAAAAAACCCAACAAAACAGTTCTTTCCAGCACTGACTTTTCAAGGTTATTTATCACTCAGACTGTCATACAGAGAACATCAGGTAGCATAGTAGTAATGCCTTTGATTGGTTTTTAGCAGAACATATAGAAGTATTCTTATAGTTGACTAGAGGCCTGATGCACAAAATTTGTGCAAGAGTAAGCCTTCCTTCCCCCAGCTGCCGGCACTGGCTTCCCTCTGGCACCCGGGATCTGGGCTTCCCTAGCAGCCCTGACTTCATCCAGAAGGTCCTCCAGTCTAATTAACATATTTCACTTTTATTATTATAGATGTTTCTTATATCATCCTATATAATAAAAGGCTAATATGCAAATAGACCAAATGGTGGAACGACTGGTTGCTATGATGTGCACCGACCACCAGGGGACAGACACTCAATGCAGGAGCTGTCCCTGGTGGTCAGTGCACTCCCACAGGGGGAACGGCCACTCAGCCAGAAGCTGGGCTCATGGCTGGCAAGCGCAGCAGCGGTGGCGGGAGCCTCTCCCACATCTGCAGCAGTGCTAAGGAGCAGTGAGCCGAGTGGTAAGGAGTGAGGGATCCTGGACTGTGAGAGGGTGCAGGCTGGGCTGAGGGACCCTCCCTCCACCCCCGCATGAATTTCATGCACTGGGCCTCTAGTACTTTCATGAAAGCCAAAGGCTTGGTCTTAT